TGTATGAAAATACTACATAAACTTAAATCCATGAGCCGCTCTATGCTCATGTTGCGCACCAGCTTTAGGTGTCACAAGCACCTGTCATTTAATCGCCGGTGACACATGCACCTGTCATTTCACCCGGTTTGCTTGAGCTGCTTATCAGCCATGTTACAGTGTTTTTCTTTTACAACAAATCAGCATCAGCTGACTTATTAGCCTCAAAACCATCAGCCGAATAACTCCATTAATTTTTTTCTACAGTATACACAAGGGGTCATTTAGTAATTTCTTTCCACTAGAGGCTGACGTGATTTCTGGTTCTAATAAAACATAAAAATTCGTGGGGATATTAAGGATAATATTTGGTAAGTAGCTCAATCGAACGAGGCGAACTGTCTATATAGCATGGTAAAAGATAGAATACCTTTTTTCTAATATATAAAAAGTGAATAATAAAATAAGAAAAAAGTAATACGTAAAACGTTACCGGAGCAGTGCAAAATTTTGTGTTAAGATTCGTGTTACGAAGCGTAGGATAGCCCAGACTCCCACCCCCCTTTTGGTCCGGACTCTGGTAGTCTGGTCTCCCCTTTCCTCCAGTTTCCTACTTTCCTCTCCTCCCCGCAGCCGCACGGCGAAAACCCTAGCAAACAAACCACCGGAGCAGCGGCGCTTGCGCGGGCGGAGCCATGGCGGACGACGATTACAACGAAATCGACATGGGGTTAGATCTCTCCCTCATCCTTCCTCCCCACTCTGGTGCTTGTCTCGCCAGGTCACGCAAAGGTTAGCGGAGCATTATTAGGTTTTATTTGGATAGGCATAATCTCCGTTAATCCCCGCTCAACCTCGACGGAGCCAACCTTCTCTCTTGGTTTATGGGCAGCAATTGGGTCGGTTGGGATTGATTTCTGGCTGCTCGTGAGAGTATGGGGGTCGGGGTTGGAGGAGCGGGTTTAGGGTAGAAAGCTGGGGGTCTTGTTGGAATTCATTCATATCGGTTTTCGGCAATAAAAGGTGCCTTTGGTTAGTTGATTGGCCGAGTTTATCCTTGAGTTAGGGTAGCAGCTCCCCTCTGTTCTTGGTTATCGCACAAGCACAACTCCCCTCCAGTCAAGGGTGATACCTGTACCTTTTGTTTGTTATCAATTTCGGAAATTTAAGGGTGCCACCGTTCTATATTTGTGTCACCTTCCTTGGAACTGTGACAATAATGCAGGCTAAGTTGGTTGGTTAGAACTTAGAGGTGATAAATTATTGGCTCAAATGCTTGTCAGTTTGCTTTAGTCACTTTGCATGGTGTTGTATGTGGGTATTTAAATTAGACAAACTAAGGGATATTCATTAATATTGGTAGACGTAAAAACAGTGAATACCATTTCTTTGTGGTTTTTCTGATGACTCAAATGTCTATTTTTATTTATACACTAAGTTTCACATGGTTGTATTATTGGATTTGCGATGTTACTGTTCTTTTTGTTATACAGCTACGAGGATGAGCCCCCAGAACCTGAGATTGAGGTGCAGACACATTACTATTGTTTTATTCGACTTTTATGCTTTATAGGAAGAGCTTATATGACCAATACAACCAATGTACTTGTGTTGAACAGGAAGGGGCTGAAGAAGAGCCTGAGAACAACGAAGATGCCCCTGATGATGTCATAGGTGGAGAGGGTGAAGACAAGGAACAGGAAAAGACCAAGCGTGAGCGTAAAACAACAAAATACATGACGAAGTATGAACGTGCGCGCATCCTGGGTACACGAGCCTTGCAGATAAGGTTAATGCTTTAGAGTATTGAACATGTAAAAAAACTATCTTCCAACCTAATACTAACCTTTAGTCTTTTGCAGCATGAATGCTCCAGTCATGGTTGAGCTTGAGGGAGAAACTGACCCTCTTGAGGTGAGGTCAAATTTTGTTTTCTGTAGATTTTAAATCGGAACTCAGATTTACATTTACCTCTTCTTGTTCTCCATTCATTCCAACAAAACTTAAATAGTCTTTTCAGAGTGCACTTTTGCTTTAAAAAATGAAGATTGATTTCTGAATGTCATATGATAATTATTTGTGACAATTTCTTATTAGATCTACAGGGAAATGGATATCGGGTTCATCACAAAAACATTTTATATTTATTAACATATATCTGTTTGAGAATGCCCCGTATTGTACAAATGAAACTAATTATGCTGTAATAATGTATCATAAATACAATCAATCAGCAGAAATGAAACTAACTGATTTTTTCAATTCTTTTCTCAACTAGAATATTGGGTAGCTGGCATTTCCTTTTATGTTGTCTGTTAGTTTGAGATGAATTGTGCTATTTGTTAGTTTTAGATGTTATTATGCCATTTAGGGCCTGTTTGGATGATGCAGTTTTTGAAAACCATAGTATCACAAAACTGTGGTTTTGTAAACCAAAGAGACACAAAACTATGGTTTAGAAAATAAAAAAGAGGTCATGAGGGGAGTTTCTAAAACTCTAAAAAGACAACAGTTTTGACAAGACCATGGTTTTAGAGGCTACAGATTTGTTGTATCCAAACACCCAGTAGCTTTTGAAAACCATAGTATTTGTCCAATACTTAAAAAAAAAACTTTGCATCCAAACAGGGCCTTACATGTATTACTTTTTCTGAATAATATGGCTATTGATTTGGCTTTTAGTTTAGACAAAAGAGGAAAAAAATGGTAGATCAGTTTGATGGCATGATAGCCAAGCATACTTTGGATTTGCTGGATGGCTTATGAATATGTCTACCTTCTTCTGTGTCATTCCCTGCGGCATCTCATACATATTGGTCCCTATGTGTTTACTAATTTGTGAAAAATTTCACTATCTCAAGTCTCAACATAGGTAACATTTGCATATTGGGCTTGCATTAGACCTATGCAAGACAGCCCAAACCAGCATAAACATGTGCAATGTCTTGTTGTTTGGTTCTCCTGCACAAACAAGCTACGTTTGGTAAAATTATGTTTGGTTGCGTATATTGTGTTGCATGTAGTCACCTCCGTGTTCTCATGTTTCTAGTAGAGTATTGAGCGATAACTGCTGTGCTGAAGCTTCAGCTAGCCAGATTGACTTGAAGAATATTAAGGTTTCTAGCTTAGAGAGATAGATACAGTCTTGGATTTCAGAAGTAGAAGGGGCTTAGCTTAGAGATAGCAAACAGAGGGGATATATCTCTTCTTCTTGAATAACTTAAGAACTCAAAGCAGTGCATCCTTGTTTGGAGCATTTCTTTTCTATAGAAAAATAAATGGATGCCTTCTTGCTATGGATTTCTGAACCTCAATACTTCTGAACACGCCTAAAAAAAATTGTTCTCCTGGTCTGCATATTTTGCTTGCGGGTGATCATTTGCTCAAGGTTTATAGCTTAACAAGTTTTCACTTTTGTATTTGCTAATTTAATCCCTGCAACAAGCCCTGCTCTGGACTTGATAAATAAATCTATATTTGGAATTAGCCTTTATCATAGGTTTCATGAAATGAGAGTGGGTTTTCAATACTTAGGCCTAATTCATAGAGAGGATTTGGGGCTAATCTTTTCTTTGCTCTACATATAGCGATTTCAATCAATCTTTAAACATTTGTGGTTGTGGGTTTATACTTCAGTCCCTCCATCTCATTTATACGCTTTCACTTTTTTAGCCTTCTGTGCCAGAGAATCATAGATAGTACCATCTATACTGGGGTGTTCTTGAAGCATGTCATTGTTGACTTTCTACCTCCCTATGGATTAAACTCATTTGAAGAAAAGGACTTTTATAGCTTTAAGTTAATCAAATAGAAAGCATGAATCATGATAAACTGTAATGTAAATGAGATTCAACCTTAGTGATTACCTTTCAATGGTTACAATCACTTTTAGTTTTTATACCGTGTACTCTAATAATCCATATTTGTTTGCACAACCTTAGATTGCGATGAAGGAGCTGAGAGCGCGCAAGATACCCTTCACGATCAGACGGTACCTACCTGATGGAAGGTGAGTATTTTCTAGTGAAAAGCCCTCACTTCTTTTTTTGAACAATTTTACTATATTCTCCTTGTTAATTACTTTGTTTTAAAACAGCTATGAAGACTGGGGAGTAGATGAGCTCATTGTGGAGGACTCCTGGAAACGCCAGGTTGGTGGAGACTGAAGATGCTGATCTACTCGGCATGGAAAGGATATGTGGTGCAGCAGGACTTTCCTGTAGTTACAAGTCTCTGTTGCCTCTATGAGTGGATGCTGTAGTGAATGAACCAAGACGAAATGTTGCTATGTTTCCATAACATCTGTGGTTGCCTTGAACTCTGGAACCGTAATGCTAGCATGGTTGGTGGTTGCATTATGCTTGTTTGTTTCAGTTTCAGACATGCAGTTGCAGCGTTTATGTGAAAATACCTTCTGTAGCCAAGTGCATGCTTTGTCTGCCTAATCTGATATTGGATGTGATCAGTGTTGTTTGTGCCAAAGGTTGAGAGCTGTGCCCCCGATGATTCATAAATCGATTGCTCTTCCATTCATGGGAAGGTCTTTGTAAGCTTTCCTGTGTGTCGTATCTTACATTTGATATTGTTTGTATGGAGTTGTGTGCTATATTTTCATTGTTGCTTTTGACTGGGAAGTTGTTTAGGAGTTTGAGGAACAAATCGAGCAACGGAGTAAGGGTAGTTCACTACATAGCTGAGCAGGAAGTATGCAGATTTGCGATCCATGCTGCTCAGTTTAGACTGGTTTGTATTAGAGTTTGCGATGATGGATCCCAAGTGTCCACAACTGTTCTAGTGCAATTCCCAAGTATGAGATCATATCCAGCTATCCACTGCTCTAATAGTGCAAGTAGGATATCATCTTGGTCACCGATGCGGTTTTACTGTTGTAGTCTGGTTAAACACATACAGGTATGCTTCATGTATCACGTGATGACAAACTTGACAGACATTTGTATACTGATGATAAGATGTATGAATCACGTTTGCTGCCTCCCTAGGATTGAATTGAAGCTCCTCCTTCATTCCTCGGAATCAGACTCAAGGGGGCAGGAGCCGTCGTCGACGGTGGCCAGCGGGTCGAACATGTCGGAGCCGGGGTCCATGCATCCGCTCACGATGTCCAGCTTGCACCGATCCCCCTGCAATATTAGCGCAGGGATACATACACATGAACATCAATGAATGAATGACTAGAGAGCAGAGCAGCGGCGAGAACCCACCCCCTCCTCGAGGTAGCCGTCCATGGCGCAGCTGGTGATGGCGATGTTCTCGTCCGGGTAGATGGCCCGGTCGCAGGCGCCCTCCATGTTGAGCTCGTCCGCCAGGCCCTGCAGCAGCACACAGTCAGGTCCAATTGGTTCAATCGTTTGAATTTGATTGATGTCCATGCGGCCATGCCTGCACCGGCATCACCCAGACAACACCCACCTGGTTGAAGAAGCTCAGCGGCTTGTTCTGCCATGGCTTGGGGACCCTGAACTTGAGCGTGTACGGCCCGTCCCACTCGGCCCCGTTGGTGAAGGAGAAGATCAAGCTTATGGCTGCACGCACGCAGGCGCAGGCGCAGCAAATAAAATCAGCAAAAGGCAACAAACCAGCAAGCAACGACGCGAGATGGACTGGCCGGGCGGCTCACCGTGCTGCGGCACGCGTATCCTGATGGTGTAGATGGGCGGGTCGGCTTTGCCCCGGACCTGCAGCGTCATCTGCCTCGGCTCGCCGCCACACATGATGGGCTGGTTGAAGCCGCCGCTGAACGCCACGCCGAACACGTCGTTCGGGGCCATCTTCGTCGCCGCCGGGTTGTAGAACAGGGTCAGCCCTTCGCCCTGCCAACAATTCCATGCATCGATCAGCGCTAGCAGAAGCAGGATCCGATCGAATCCCATCGAAAATAAACATCATAATCCATGGGCATGGACTCGACACTCTGACTCACCGGCGAGGGCGGGAGGCCGTTGGCGGTCTTCCAGAACACCGGCGCCCGCCCGAGCTCGAACTCCGCCCACGTCGGCAGCGACAGCCTTGCAAGTCGGAAGCCATGTCCAACAGCAGCATGCCAGCATCAGTCAACAAAGCTACAACTACAAGAGCAGCGATGGCATGCAGCCTCTAGTTTATTTGTTACAGCCAGGCACTTACCCCTTGTCCTGCTGCTCTACGGCAGCCGGCGCCGCCGTGGCAGCAGCGGCGGCGCGAACGCTCGCGGAGGAGCTCCGCCGGCTGGTGACGACGACGACGACTCCTGCTCGGGCCGGTTGCCGGTGGTGGATAGCCGCGGCGCCGGTGCCGCTGCTCAGGCGGCTGCAGGAGGAGAGCGTGGCCATCGATCCGTTCGCCGTCGTCCTTGATTGATTGGCTGTTGCTTGCAACTAGCTTGTTGCCAAATTGTAGCTCAACTGACCGCCGGCGAGATAGATAGTTCCGTGTGGCCGCGTTAGGCCGCCGGCGTATATAAGGATCCGGTGGATGGGGAAGCGGGTGGACGTGTGTGGTGGGGAGGTGGCAACGACAGGGAGGCTCTGGACTGGATGATGCCATGCCACTGGGAAAAAGACTTGGTGGGCTGCTTGATTTTTTCCCCCTTTTAGCCGCGGGAAAAAGACACAAAGCAAGCTATGGTTTTCACGGGTAAAATATCATCTCTCCAGCCTCAAGTGGTCATTGGTCAAAACTCACTACTCGAAAATATCCTCGCTTTATCTCTCGCCTCTCAGCGTTAATTTTTTTCACTTGTTTTCTAGGAGTATTTTCTGTTTTCTACTCAGTGCACCTTTGGTGTATTATCGTGGTTTAGAATAAAACACTAGTAAACAAAACTTAATCATGGCGGGCAAAAGAGCTTAACCGAGGCCGGCAAGCCAACTGCCTCGGTGGAAAGGTCACGGTTAATCGTGGCCTTATCCGTGGTGGTCCAAATGCCCGTCTCGGTTAATCAAATAAAAAAAAAGAAAAAAGCCCACAGCCCAAATCGGGCCTAGATCTGGGTATGGATCCGTCGCCGCGTCACGCGCGTGTGCTCGCGCGTTGGAGCCGCGTCGAGCCCGCGTCCTCCCCGCTGGATCCACCGCCGACGCGCTCGTGCTCGCTAGATCCGCCGCCAGCAGACTCCTCCGCCCTGGATCCGTCGCCGGCGGGCTCGTGCTTGCTGGATCCGCCACCAGCGGACTCCTCCTCGCCAAATCCGCCACCAGAGAGCTCCTCCTCGCCGGATCCGCCACCAGAGAGCTCCTCCCCGTCGGATCCGCCACTAGCAGACTCCTCGCTGGATCCGCCACTAGCAGACTCCTCGCCGGATCCGCCACCAGCAGACTCCTCCTCGTCGGATCCGCGGCGGGATATGGATAGGGAGAGGCCCCGCCCTGCCTGCCGGCTGTGGAGAGGGAGAGGGAGGGGCAGCGCCGCATGGGGAAGAGATGGAGCGCCGCACTGGGGAAAGCGCCGCACGGGGAAGAGGGAGAGGGAGTGGCATCGCTGCACGGGGAGGGAGCGCCGTGCGATCACGGGGGAGGGAGCGTCGCAATCGCTCAAGCGAAGATAGGGCAGGCGCGCAGACGGAGAGAGAGGGAGAGGCTAAGTGAAACCCTAACTAAGTCACCGTATATATACTCATACGTGATATCGGGCCGAGATATGGGCTGTCTGGGCCACTATTTTCCGAGGCGGGCCATATAGCGTGCCCGCCTCCAAAAATGTATTAACCGAGACGGTTATCTTACCATCCCGCCTCGGTTAATCAGCATTAACCGAGGCGGTTATTTTACATTGCCCGCCTCAGTTAAGAATTAACCGATGCAGTTGATGGGCTGGCTGCCCTGCCACGAATAACCGAGGCGGACAACCGGCCTGTCCGTCTCCGAGGCCAATTTGAAAACGCCTCGTAAAAGATTTTGTGTAGCAGTGAAAATGGCTGGGAGGTAAAACAAAACAGGCATGCGTAATCCATCCCGCTGCGACTTGAGAAAAAGAAGATGGCACGTGTACATGTGGGAAATAAACAAGCGACGAGGCAAAACACAAAATCAGGGTGGTCAATCGATGGATGGAATTTACAAACAGAGAAATAAAATACGAATGTTTATCTTACCGGTGGACATGCACTTGCAGCACGTACGTAGCTAAAAATAATCTAATTTTTCATCTTAGTGTATGATTAATAATTTTTTTAACCATATCAAAATACGCTTTAGCTCTAGGCAAGCTGAATCTGTAATAGCACGAACCAGTGGTGGAGCCAGGAATTATGTATAAGGCGGTCCGGTCGAAGAATTCAAAATATGAGAATTAAGTGTAGTTTATTTGTTTAGATTTTTGTCTCAAGGTTATGCTCTTATTTTTCTAGATTTATTCTAGTATTTGACGATTTAACCATGCTCGCTATTGTTCACATAGTAGACGACTATGTATATCGATAGTGGCGCGCAAGTGATGACTCGTGAATATTGAATATATCGGCTTAGTATTTTGGAAGTGCTCATTCCCGTGGTAGGTGACCGTGTCTGTCCATAACGGGGCACATATAAATACTCAGGAATCTTGAAGTCTATCATATTAGTATTTTGAAAGTGCTCATAATATAGTAGGATATGTGTTTATCATAGGAGTGTGCGTACGTGTATGCACGTGAAAGTCCACATTTATACTATGATTCAAAATAAAAAGGGATGGTCACCGAATTATTATTGCTAGTCAAACACACATTCAATAAAAATATAAAGTATAATAAAATAAGTATTTTAATAAACCAAAAAATTTAATAGATATATCATAATATGGTAGGCAAACAAATTTTTAGATAAATCAAAATATTTTAATTATATTTTGTGTGATTTTGTTGTCTAAAAGATATCAATAAACATTATAACAAGATTTTCTTTATTATACTCTTTTAATATAAACATGTACTATTTACTATATATATTATATATAAAAAAATTTAATTGTTAGGGGGGGCATGGCCCCCCTTGGCTCCGCCAGTGGCACATGAACGTAACATAATATCTTATACTCCCCTCTTATAAAATAAAGCTTCTCTTACACTTTGCCAAATAAATTTGAATAACATGTTAATATACAAATACAATTGAACCTGAAGTAACACTGCGCTACAATAGAGTACAGAATATACGATACTCTCCAAAGGGCCCATATGATTAGTTTCATCCCCCTAAATGTTACACATCACATCAATTTGCTATACAGATAAGATGAAAAATATATACCCCATCACAAAAAAGTAGGAGTAGCATGTAAAATAAAAAAACTAATTTACAGATTCTTAGGGAGTCGAGGCCAACCTTATCCTGAGTTCATTATTTGCATCCAATCAAAAATTAAATCCGTTGAAATTACCCATCTAAATCAATCTAACTTTTTAATTTCTTTTGTTCCACTAACAGAAAAAGAATCTATGCTAAAGGTAAAGAAACGATGATCCAATGGAGAGTACTAAACAATTATATATAATAATCAGATTTGCGTTTGCAAGTCTAATAATACTACTTATGATATCTAGGAGACACGTTATCTAAGTCAAGCATAACAGCTAGGTGCTCATTATATCCAAAGTTAGAGATATATTGTGGTTCTAAAAGGAGGTTTCGGCCAAGCATTTGATTCAGCAAGGAACTTTAGTGACAGATGTATCTACCATAAACCTATTGTCGGTGTTTCGGACCACCGACGAGTAAATTTGTATTTATGCGTCTGGCTCGGATGGTGTGCTCGAAGGACACAAGGGTTTATACGGGTTCGGGCGGAACGTCCCTACGTCCAGTTCGCTGCTGCTCGTGTTACCGGCACTTGGTTTACAGTAGGGGTTACAAACAGGCGAGAGAGAGAGGGCCCCAAGTCTCTGGTGGAAGGAGTGAACGGGTGCTGAGAGCTCGTTTGCCGCTCAGCAGTGCGCTCATGTGTTCGTGTTGTGCTGTTTGTGTGAAGACGTGCTTGAACCTCTCCTTCATGGGGCGCGATGCTTTCCCTTTTATAGGCGAAGGGAAAGCACAGATTACAGAGGAGGAAAAGGAGAAAAATGAGAGAGAGAAGAAGGTTTCCAGGGTCGTCGGGTCCTTCTTCTCCTTTATGCGGGTCCCACCGATCCTGTAGATATCAACAGGGACGGCTTCACGTCGCGGCCCTGTTCGTCACTGGTGCCATGCGTAGACGTCATCTGCCGGTCATGGCGTTCCACTCCGTCCCGGTGGAAGGCGTGGTGAACTGACGCGCCTGTCAGCGTCCGTACGAGGATTAGGCAAAACAGCACCAGCACGCCCGACACTGTTCTTGATGTGAACCTCCAGGTATGGCCCGTCATGGCCACGGGTTACATCGAGGCGTGCCCGCTTCTTCCCTGGTGTCAGAGTTTTGACCTAGGCCCATACGCTTGGACCTGGAGTGGATGGCGGCGGTATGGGTCTCTGTCCGGTGAGGCGAAAACTGCGCCCGCGGGGTCAGGCGGCACGGGGCCTTTGCCTGAGGGGTCTGGCGAGACGGAGCCCGCACCCAAGGGGTCGGGCGAGACCTTTTAATACATCTCGAGCCATCCGGGGAAGTTAACATGGGCGCTTACTTCCTTGCTTTGGGTATCCCTAATATCGATACCCGACAGTAGCCCCCGAGCCTACGGAGGAGTAGAATACTCCTTTAGAGGCTTTTCCGGATGGGAGGACTCTGAGGGACTTGGCCTTCTTTTGTAGCTCGTGGCGTGTCCTGGTAGGACGACGATTCTCTTTTGTCACGATCGGACTTCTTGGGGGCATGTAACCGTAGGATTCGGAGGGTCAGAAAAGATTTCTCTTGATTCTGACCCCTCCCTAGGATCCGAGCCATTGTCCTGCGACCGCGTATTTGGTCTCCTTGTGAGTCCAACTTCCCTCGAGCCCTCGCGCGTTGTAGGGGTCCGGTCGAGGGGTCAGCTCGTCTTTGTGATCATCATCCCTCAAGCGTTTTTTCGATAAAACGGAGGGGCTGAGCCGTGCCACGTTTTTCCTCGATGGACGAAACATGGTGCTCGATGAGTTGTTAACGGGCTAGTCCGAGTGGAGCCCCACCTTCCTATTTACGGGGTCTGCCTTGGGTCAACTAGTGACCGACTCCAGATTCTCAGCGGCCAATCCATATAGTTCTCGGGTCCGTTTGACCGGTCCCAAGGGCTCTCTGCCTTTCTTTGAGGAAAAACCATAGATTGTAAACCGATCGAGACTCGAACGTGGGCTGGGATGCCCGTGATGCTCGTACGCCTGGGTACTGGCCGCTAGCGGGCCCATCCCTTTCCACCCCTCACTCTAAATGTTCCCTAGGGCGGTTGTGAACCCGTCGGTGGGCCAAC